GCGCGCGCAGGCTCCCCCGGCTCCAGCCAGTTTTAAAATGGCTCGTAACGAGTAACATCCCTGTGCCCGTGTGGATGCGGCACTCCCAACGGGAACGCAGGGTTTACTTCCCCAGGTACCTTCCCCTGCTGGGACCTAGCGCAGGAAGGGGCTCGAGTCGCCTGGCAAATACTCAATGGGAGTCTCCAAAACACTCCTCCAGCTGCCCAGAATCACATGCAGACCCTGGGAATTTTGCTCTTTTGAAAGTTGGCCGCCATCTGTGCCCGTGTGGATGCGGCACTCCCAACGGGAACGCAGGGTTTACTTCCCCAGGTACCTTCCCCTGCTGGGACCTAGCGCAGGAAGGGGCTCGAGTCGCCTGGCAAATACTCAATGGGAGTCTCCAAAACACTCCTCCAGCTGCCCAGAATCACATGCAGACCCTGGGAATTTTGCTCTTTTGAAAGTTGGCCGCCATTAAAGTGAATGCTTGCCGAAGGATTCGAGCCCGATTCGTTAGCATATTAAAACACTGCAGGCGCACACCCTTCACGGGAGGAATGTTTTCCATCCATGGATGGAATAAAGTTTGTTCTGTGCACGGAGGCATGTGCGGATGTGCACCGCCAGCAAAAACACAGGCTGCTGGCGTTGGGCGCTGCGCTCATCAGCTGGGCGGCACCTGAATCTCTCCTGGGCGGCTCCCCAAGCCCTCTGCTTCCAGGGAACATGACACCTTAATAATCCAGCCAAACAGGCTTCCTTCCCCTCCAGTAAACCAGAGGCCCACACCCCACCCCCGTCAGATCCCTGGGAATTCAAATGACATGGCAGAGTCATTTCAAAGCTGCCGGTCTAGCTCGTCAGGGAGTGGAGGTGACTCCCCCCTTCGTGCTGGGCAGTCTCTGAACTCACAGGAGTGTCGCTCGCTCCCTCACTTCATCCCTGGTTTAAATTTAAGCATCCCGTCCTAACGCACTCAGGCTTCGCCGCCCTACCCAGCCCTCGTGAACACACCGTGGAGTGGCTGACTCTTCAAGAGACCCTCGGCTCTCTGGACCCAGCCTCCAGAATTGCTCTAACCTCAGGGGACCCCCCAAACAACACTAGGAAACCCAGGCTTAGCGGGGAGACCATCACTGGCCAGAGAACCACAGCCGTCGGCTTGCGGCGGGGCAAGAGACGGCTCCTCCCTGCTCTAGGGCACCCTTGCGGGAGCCGGGGCACTGCCGTCCCTCCCTTGCCACGCGGGATCCCGCAGCGCCTCTGGCAAATGCCTGCAAGTCAAGGGTGTCGAACAAAATCCCATTCCCGCAGGAGAGAAAAGGGACCCGCTGCGGAGAGAGGACGATTTTGCCAGTCTGCCGCCACTCTCCCCCCCCCGCTGCGTCCTG